AAGCGTAAAAAGATTTTTACGACGAAAGCAAAATGAATCTTTCATGTCGCTCTTTGCAGGTGACTTTTCTTCGCCTAATGTAAAGAACCGCACATGCCATTTGTCATGCTGACACAAAATGTGCTTTGCTGTTTATTCCTGTAGGTGATAGATACTGCATAGATCATCATCTGCAAATCCCATCAGATTCAACTGCCTATTTACCTTACAGTGCCCTCTGACTGCTTCCCTCTCTTTGCTTATTAGGTCCGCTGTAAATTTTGACGAATGTTCTATAAAGAAATGTTTTGCTTGTCTTTGTCCTAATGAATTCCTCTACCATTCCAGAGATTTGTGTGTTACAGAATTGTTCCGGTCCAATCAATGGTATTAATGTGCTTTGTTTGGACATTTCATCTATTTTTTCAGTACCCTTATGATTTTCCTGGTACCCAGGCTCCGTAACCTTGCTACGATCTTCTAGTTTACTTAGGGCATCCTATTACAATCAGAAACTAGCTTAGAATTGATCTCTTCAGAATTGAGTGCCTTAAGCGCTGTCTTACTATCTGTGAAGACGGCAATTGAACTCTTTTTTTGCCTTTCCTATTTTTTCTATTCCATTTTCTATTCTATTTTTTCCACGCAGTAATGGATTGTTGCTATTTCCACAAACATTGTTTTCAGCTTTAATCTTTATAAGAGCGCCTACCTTTGAACCTAAAGGTCGTGAGTTCGAATCTCACCTGGGTGGAGAAATTTTCGTTTATTAAAAATAATAAATGAAAATAATTTCTATCCTTGTGCGATCGGTACTCACCGGAGGGACCGCAGACGTTCGGATACAATTAGCGTCTCTTAGCAAAGACAATGACGTCGACTTTGCTAAGTATCAAGACAACTACTCTACACACACACTACACTCTACACTAGGTACCTGACTGTAAAAATTTACTGTACCATGCCAATGACCATTAGATGTCGACGCATTACACGCAATAAAAAAAAATTATTCCGTTGAGCTAATTTGTAGGTCTTTTTTTAGGTAGCAAGTTTTATTACCAATAATATCATGATAATTATGCTACAACTGAGGTAATGTAAAATTATTTTTGATAAATTTTGCTATTTAATTTCATTTTTCAGTTTTACCCAGTTATAAAAATGTTCCATCTAATTTTAGGAAAATTTGTTTAATAGCTGATTTGTCCAAATTTACTTTTTTGTTTTGCCATTTGCCTTGTTTGAGTTACTTTGCTAATGAGTTGGCATTCTATAATACTTTTAGTATGCTGAACTTTTAAGAAATAAAAATTGTTAATTTGTAGCAATTATTATTTTGATACTCTCTCATAATCTTCTTTTCTTCTGGTAAATAATAAGACAAATCTGACAGAAATGTAGAGCGACAATATAATTTTAACCGTATAATTAATTTAATTTCTTTAATTTGGTATCCGCCGCGCCGAGACAGAAGACGAACTCTAAAGATTAACACACATCTTCAATACAACAGCCAAGAAATACAATATGATAATATCAGCAGAAAGCAAGGTTTAGATATCTGGGAATAGATATAACTAGTTACGGAGATGTTAAAGAAGAAGTACGACAACAAAGCTTAAAAGCAAGTAAAGCGGTGGGATCACTTAATGATACAATCTGGAAGAACAAACACCTAAGACACGACACAAAAACAAGAATCTATAAAGCAGCAATTAGACCTACATTAACATACACGGCGGAGACACGACCTGACACATCTAAAACGAGACGACTACTAGAAAGGACAGAGATGAAAATACTCCAACGAATATCAGGGAAAAGTCTGTTGGATAAGGAGAGAAGCAAAAACATAAGAAGAGCATGCAATATAGAAGACATAAATCGATGGGTGACAAAACGGGAACAGGAGTGGAACGATCACATCAGTAGAATGGCAGAGGATAGGATAGTACGAATAGCACTAGATAAGTCACCAAATGGACGAAAAAGTATTGGCAGACCAAGAAAAATATGGTGCGATAATTTAAACAATTTAGGAAACTAATACTGAAGAAGAAACAGGATTTAAAGCCTACATACAAGAAGGAAGAAGAAGTAGAATTTATAGACCCACGTCCAAAAGCTCACCGTTGTGGCCTTCAAAACACCTTAGCGCTGGTTTGCAAGGTGAACATACTTGCATCTGAATTTCCTATTTTTCTTTTAATCTCCCACTTCCCATCCAGATGATAATAGAACGGATAGAACGTAATAGAACGGATAACCAAAATATTGCTTACCTAATTATCAATCCCTACCGAAAACTAAACTGTTTGTCATCTATGTCTATTTTACATTTTCTTTATATTCTATAATGATTTATTTTAAGCGAGGTACTTAAATCATGGCTCATTTTACATTTGTTTTCTTTGCTGTTTTTTGCACTATGAATAAAAGGCGATTTCAAACCATCTTGTGGTGACTTCTTAAGGTAGTATATTAGGTGCTTCTTCGAGATATTTCTTGTTGTTGAAAAATATGTTAAGAAAGAGGAACAAGGTGCAACAGGTATTGTTATCTACTATCTTATTTGTGGACCTTCGTCTTTAGCGTTCTGTCAATTATTTGGCGTTTTACATAGCAAATAAATCGTGTCTTTATTCCAGTTCCTCTACCTTGTTTGTATACACTTTTGTACATAGATAAGTCTGTTCTTAAATGATCTTCGCTTGTCCATCATCTGTAATATTTCTTCGGTAATCTCTTCTTTGTTGTTTTTCTTTGGCCCATAACTTGTTTTTCTAACTTAACTAATATGTTTTTCAAAGTATACCAATCTAGCTCAATATTTTTTCAAAAGTCTTAATAGTTTCTAATGTACTAGAAGTCTCTAACCTCTATGTATTTAGGTAAATGCTGAAGTTTATTGATATCAACTGTCTTAGTTTATTTCTTTTTTAAATTTTTAATTTTTAATCAAAAATTTAAATTTTCCACGAGGAGATTGTGATCCGATCCAACGATATCATCGGGGATATGTCTTAAACCAAGAATTTCATATGAAATCGTAGGCTTCCACGGCCAGAGTCAGAATTATAGTTTATTCGTCTTCCGGGTTTGGACCGTGTCATTTGTGAGTGACCCAAAAGTGGGTTCATCTCGACGTTTCGCTACAATTGTATGTAGCTTCTTCAGGAGAACAAAGAAAAAGAAAAAAGAAAACAAAAGAACAGGAAGATGGGTAGTTAGCAACGGTAACTCAGTTACTCAACGCAACCAGAGGCGAATACTAACTACCAAGATGGGCATTTGGTCACAGTAACTCAACTACTCAACGCAGCCAGAGGTGAAAACCAAATGCCAGGACAGGGATTCACGTCCAACAGCTCAGAACACTAACGCGTCGAGAGGCGGATTAGGATTCACTCCCCGCCTCTCGACGCGTTAGTGTTCTGAGCTGTTGGACGTGAATCCCTGTCCTGGCATTTGGTTTTCACCTCTGGCTGCGTTGAGTAGTTGAGTTACTGTGACCAAATGCCCATCTTGGTAGTTAGTATTCGCCTCTGGTTGCGTTGAGTAACTGAGTTACCGTTGCTAACTACCCATCTTCCTGTTCTTTTGTTTTCTTTTTTCTTTTTCTTTGTTCTCCTGAAGAAGCTACATACAATTGTAGCGAAACGTCGAGATGAACCCACTTTTGGGTCACTCACAAATGACACGGTCCAAACCCGGAAGACGAATAAACTATAATTCAAGAATTTCATTTTTAAATCGGTCTCCTTAAACAAGTGAATATTCTCCTTAAACAGTTCGTGTGGCTTTTTCTTATAGGTGTGTTATTGGGCATTTCATAGGAATTTTGCATAACAACCCGGGAAGTCCTGTGATTACGGGAATCACCTCTCTTGCTGGATCTTAGTCTCCGATGTCCATGATCAATAAGCGAGTTTGTCTTGTGTTGTACAGCCATTATGATTGTACTAGAGATATCTATAGAAATATCTATATTTACCAACTCGTCCTCCGGAAGCCGTTGATCAGCAAGTGGGGGATTGCTTATACCGGCAATCATTCGGTGAATTACCTGTTGGTCCACGGGAGGTATTTTATTTCCCCCTACCCACCAGTAAATCGGGTCGGGCATTTCCCTATCCGCCACCTGGGGACCCGGTAGTTCTCTAGGAGTTACAGGTTCTCCCAAGAGAATTATGTTGTAGAAGCCTATTAATTGGAATATTTGCTTATGCTAATTTACTGCGCAATAACAGCAATTGCTTATATTATGGGAATTAAGATTATAACACGACAAGGTACTAATATCGATAGGACATCCTATTCTGGAAGAGAGACTCCTATGGAAGATTGAATTATTACGTAGGGAAATTGGTCAAATCACGGAATAGATTCGAGAAATAATAAGTAGAAAAGTAATCAGAAGAGCTGAAGAAATAATATAATGCACTTCAAGAAACTTATAATATGATCTAAAAAAACAACACAGTCTAACAGCGCCTGGATACGTTAAAACAAAAACTCTCCCTTTACTCAGGCCAGCAAAGGAAGTACAAAGTTAGTAACCACCCGAAATACGACAATACGCTTTTTGAGTATGCTGAGAAGGCGTTTTATCAAAAACTCATTGTCGCTGTAGAAAGTTCCAGTAAATTGTAACCAAGCCAAGAAGAAATTCAGGAGTTTTGGGGAAATCAATTTCAACGCGACCTAATCTTAACAATAATGCTGAATGGATTGATGAAACCAGGCCCAACTAGAGTAATATTCTACTAAACAGCTACTGATTTAAAATACTGACTGGTTTTAGCATCAAAAATAAGACTGTAGTGATGATTTACAAATTCCACGATTTTTCTTTTAACGCAAATGAAGTTTGTTTGAATTTGAAGCCGTCCCTGTTGACAAGCCAATATCTTGCTCGTGATCCGCCATTTCTGTGACGCGCACTTGTGTTCAGAACTCGTCCAGTGACGACCGCCCTAAAATTTTGACGTGGCTACTACGTATCTCCCGTTTATCCACTCCGATTGCAGCAAGTTGGTGACGACGAATACGTAACTGGTAAGTACCCAGCTGAAGAATAATAACACACCGACATGGACCAGACACCCTTTTGAAGTTACTATATTTTCAAAATTTAATTATTTATCCTTTTTAAAACAATAAGAAACGGTTTTAAGCTATACTATAAAATGTACGGAATATGGCGTCATATTGTGCATTTGAATTTAAATTTAGATTTTATAGTGTTGATTTAATGTAAAAAATCCCAAAAAATTTTAATTGTCATGGACTGTTGGAGTTTCTATTTGGGTTTTGTTGTCATTACTTTGAATCTGTTCAATACTTAACCTCACATTTTGGAATGACAGTCTCGTAAAGTATGAAAAACTTTTTAAATTTCCATTTGCGCATTTACTTTATGTATGTAAATAATTACATCACCGGTTCTAATTCCCGCACTTATATATCGATTTAAATAACAAATTTAAAAATAACTTGCAATATTTACACTGAAGCTACTTACAGGAAAACATTTCTTATCTGCTTTCCATAATAAATACATATTTTCGAGTATTAAAATTGAATTTAAACAATAGCACATTCGCAGTTAACATTCCAGCTGTTTTTATTTTCATTTATGAGTATTATTTGCAGTTCTACTGTACTTTCTTTTGTAGACACCAAATTTTATGTTGTTTATGTTTTTATTCATTGATATTTGAATTTATCAAATTTCCCATATTTTAATAGTCAAATGTTTTTATTTTTTTATAGTGAAGTTGTATTATCGTAAATATTGCTATTAGTCAGTTTTTTAAATGGGAGCATTGTAAATTTAACCTTGATACATTTAAATTATTACACTAACTTTATAAATAATAAGAATTAGTGTTATAATAAAAAAATATATGGATCTATCAATTTATCTATGTATGTATACCATGATTTTTAATTAAAAACCTCAACTTCATTCTATTGAGTCTTGATTGAATTGTAATCAATCTTATAGTTCCAGAATATGAATGGTCCTGGTATGTTTTTGACATGTTGTTTTAAAATAAAGGTGAGGGATTTCTGTTTCTTCTGCTGCAGCCAAAAACCTTAAACTGACTTAAAATATATAAAAAAATTTGCATTCTGATATAAAATTTATTAAACATTGTTTGTATCATTTATTGTTGCATCTAAATATTCATCAGTTATTTTTTGGTAATACAAAGGGTAATAGGGGACATCAAATACATGAACATATTTTAATACTATAAACATATATTTGAAACAATTTCCAAACTATCAAGTTCAAGTGGAAGCATAAAAAAGTTTTCTGTGCAGACATGTGTCACAGTTAAAGAAGATTTTTATTCTCTAGATCAACATCCTTATTTTTTTTATGCTATATTAAAGTATACAATCAATGCATACTCCCTGTTCCCGTTCGCATAAAACTTAACAAAGAGAACCAAACAGCAGAGATCAAGAGACGAGTTAGACTGGCATGGGCGGCATTTGGCAAACTAAGCTACATTCTTAAAAACAAAAGATATCCACAGCATCTTAAGACCAAAGTATATAATCAATGTGTACTCCCTGTTCTTACTTATGGTTCCCAAACATGTACATCTACAAAAGCAAACATGGACAAAATCATAAAATCCCAAAGAGCAATGGAAAGACAACTGTTACACATAAGACTAATGGATAAAAAGAGAAACAAGTGGATAAGAGAGAAAACAAAAGTGAGGGATGTTAGACAAGAAGTTGCAAAATTAAAATGGAGATTTGCCAGACACAATATAAGACAAAAAGAAGACCTATGGAACAAAATTCTTATAAGTTAGGACATTCTTATAAGGAGACAGTGGGAATATAAACAAAGCAGAGGAAGGCCCCAGATGAGATGGGCAGATGATATCAAGAAGCATGTGGGCTCTAGGTGGATGACTGTATCGACAGACAGAGAAGAATGGAAAAGGATTGGGGAGGCCTATATCCATAGATAGATGGAAGAAGGCTAATTAGATAGATAGATAGATATTAACTGAATATCTGTTCCTTGCTGACATTTTTATCACATACTTACAATAAGCTTTCTTATAGGAGTAGATGCTGGACATAAATAAAGACGTTTTCTTACTTTTTACAGATAATAATTTCTTTGTAAACCTTGTTGATAAGTGGTTTATATAATATTTTGTACATATACTTTTTATGTACCTCACTTTGGATTTATTCTAGAATGAGCTATTCCTTTTTGTGGCCAGTTATCATGATTTTTATAATTTCTTTTACCATAACTACTTCTTTCATCTTTATTTTTTTAGTGCATGTTTTTACATCATGTTGCTTCTTCTATGTCTGTATTTTTGCAGATTTTTATTTAAATATATAAAACAGTTCAGTTTTAAAAAAATGAAAAATGTTATGTCTAAGTAACAAATTATAGCTACATTCTTTGGAGTTAATTATTGAGAAGTATAATGTTTTTTTGGGATATTAGAAGTGTGGTTTAGACGATGCAGATCAACATCACACCATAATAAATGACAGGTCCTATTGTTTATTAGCAAAATAAAGGACACTTCAGCTACCATTACTATATCAAATATACAGGCCAATCCTAGGAAGTTTACTGCCCACATGTGAAGATGTAAAACACTAATAAAAATGTCAATAAAATTTTAAATGTAAAAGTTTATTTTTTGAAAAGTGAAATAATACTTTACCATAAAACCTTTGTATAAAAGACATTTACTTAAAAGACTTTTTTTAATTATAAATAAAAAACAACAGTATTCACTTAAAAAATACAATCTAATAACAAAGAGTACTTTTCCTAATAAATATTTATAAACCAACTTATCTAGCTTTCTAGGAAGTAAGTCAGTAATTTTGGTGGTATCAATTTTTTCAAAAAATTTAGATTTGATAGAGATCATAGCCAAATCTGCAAGCTTTTCTTGTGCTATATTAATCCTTAAGTAATTTTTAATAATTTTCTGGACCTTCTTTCACTTGAAGCCATAGAAACAGGTGAGGCAAAAACATTTTTAATGCCAGAGTAAAATTTGGAAAACAGAGAATGAGATAATTTTTGACTATAATATTTCAATTGACTGTTTTTCACCTGAAGTTATTTCATTAAAGAGTTGTTACTGTCTATATCTTTCATGGTACTTTCTTCCTGCTATAGCTGTAACTTAATATCGAAGTCCATGAAGGCTTTTTTTAAAGTTATCATTAGACATGTTATGAAACTCCCACTGAAATTAGAATATTGAATAGCACTCAGATAATAAGGTAAATACTTTATGGACTGAGGAGACAATGTGGCAAGAAATGCAAAATTGAAACTGTTGGATGGGGTTTAAAACTAGTTTGTCACTGCCATCATAAGCAAATAAATGCACCATTTTCCTAAGCTTTGAGATACGAAATTCAGGATCAATATCTCTAAAAAGTATCGACACTGATATGACAAATATTTTAACAATATCATGAGTTCTTTGGAATTCCAAATATTTTTAATATTATCTAGGCATTTACCTTATCTCTAGCCTATCTACTAAGCAGTAATAATGCTGCCCTTTTTCACATGTCCTTTTAATAAATTCCATCAACATGGGTATTCGGAAAATAATTATAAACCTCTTAAACCATATCAAAAAAACCTGAAATTTTATGGCTAGACCTTGCAGCGTTATTAATGACCAGGTTTAATGTATGAACTGCACAGGGCACATATAATGCTCTAGGATTAATATCAAGATACTGTTTTTGAAGCCCTATATGTTTCTCTTTCATGTTCGATCCCTTATCATAGCTTTAACTTAATGTATCCTTAACTTTGTGCTGTAGACTATGTAATAGCTTGTCTAATAGAACATTTCACTGGCCTTCTTCAGTGGTATTAATTACTGGAAAAGATCCTAGAAAAAATTCTAAAATATCTACTTTATCATCAATAGTTTGCACACACCTAACTCCTGGTAAGCTGATATCAACCATTGGACTCTAATGTCCTTTTTCAATCTGGGTTCTGTATGTTCCCTCATGTGAAAGCCTATAACATCGACCAAGTGTCACCATATTTTTAAAATTCGATATGTTTATCATGTAATCTAAAGAATACCTATATTTGTGCCTAGTTACAGCTACTTTTAAAATGTTTTACTGCATCATACATCAGAAGCTTTTACATCTTTGTAAGTTTATTAAACTATGGTATACAGCCACCTACTGGGATTTTTTCTTTTAACTTTTAATTAAAACATGTTTTCACTGACTTAATTTTTCCTCACACTTATTTCGATTATGATAACAGTATTATTATTTTTTATTGTATGTTAAATCGAAACGAAATGAACCTATTAAAATGAATAGTATGATTTCCCTCATTTTATCTTTTATAATACTGGCCACAGAAAAAATGCCAATGCTGCATCGCTTTAACTTTGCCTAAATAATTTATATTAAGTTCCAATTTACAAAGCATAGTACAATATAGGCATAAGCCATATTTGAATAAGCCAACCCTAGTATCGCGTTTAAGCAAAAAAACCTTTGACTATTGCCGAATATGCCAGGAATTTTGCTATTAAATGATGAATGTGTCAATGTGTGTAAACAGTAGACAAATTTTGCACTACACTTATTCCTAAACTATGCTATCAAACAAACGGGACTTAGGTATTTTGATTTTTCAATAACTTATGATTTTATAAAGTTATGATAAAGTGGTTTTATTTTGAGAAATAGGTATGTGAACAATTAATTTTTTGATTGGTTTATAGATGCGGTCTATGGCTGCCTTTGTTTTGGCCGCCCGCGTGCTGTGCACGAACTCCTGCTAGGATCGGCTCTGCTAATATAATTGTATCATAAAACCAGAAAACTGTATGAAATATCTCCGAATAATAATTGATAATACATTAAACTTTAAAAAACACACCTCAACTATTAAACAGATAGTTATTAAAAGTACCAAGTACTTCAGGGGATTAACACTTTTATATACTTAATAATACTTAAGTCATGGATATTAAAACAGTTACAAACAT